GTATATCTGGTTTTAAATTGATTTAAAAATCAATTTAAAACCAGAATCTTTCACAACACCTTGGATCACTAAACCTAAAGAAGCCATTCCAGAGCTCTACATTTCACCAACAGGTTGCCAAAGAACACTAAACTCATATATTCCTCCTGCGATGACTGCAGGTTACAGATACCACCCTTAGCAAACTGTCGAAGTCCCCCGAGACACAGTATTTTTTTTTAAAAAAATCAGATAAAGGGAAGAAAGAGCCTGCTTAACCCTGAAGAGACCAGCAATGCTCACATAGGGCTTAGCATGGGTCATAAATCAAANGATCCAGAATAGATTTCTACAGTTGTGTACCCAATCCCAAGACACTATCCTTGGAAGACAATCATACGCGGTCACAGGGGATAGCTGATGATGATGATATCCATCAGTTCATTTGTCTTGGATTATAGATGACTTTTGATGAAATAACATTGATAATGCTAATATGCCTGTTAGCTGGTGTATCTGTTTAGATCTTTAATGAAAAAGAAGACCAGGGGAAAACGTGGTCATTCATTCTCCTTCCTTTTTCCTTGCTTTTCCAGTATTGATTGCTTTATCTCTTCATACTATAGTGCCCTTGCCGGACATTAGCCTTTCCATTCACCAAAGAACATACAACATACTGTATGTGTTAGTTTGTAATACCAGTTCCATTAATCTGACTTTCTTTATTCTTCTTTTTGTCTTGGAAGTTTATCAGGCAATGTAAACAAATCACATATAAAACAGGACATTAGTTCCATGGTCTTATCACATGATAGCTCTTCTTACACATGCTCCCAGTGAGACATATTTGAAAGATGTTTCTTTTACCAAAAAAAGTCCTTAACAGGTTATTAATGTTTGTTAAAAAACAACCCTTTCCAGGATGTTTTCCACCAGGAAAATAGATGAAAAAGAATTATGTCAAGTGATAAGTAAAAGGCAAAGATGCTATTGTCCTGCTGTAATTTGCGATTTGCTGCCTTGTGTAATAAACTCCTTAGTCACTGACATTTTGGCTTTTAGGATACAACTAAATACTGATTGTTGGATATGAAATCCATTAGTGGTAACTTCTGTCTAATTTACTTTCCATAGATTTTTTTTCATTCATATAGGATACAAAGATAAATTGAAATAAAATTATTTTACTATGAGAAGTTTCCAGAACCTATATTTAGACTACCATGGTGAGGTATTTCTCTCCCCCAAACCATGGTCTTCATTTAGTTTCTGAAGAAGAGGAAAATAAGTTTTAGAAAAATGAAGAGTTGTAATAAGAACTCGAAGGGAAAATTAACTGATGTAACTTCAAGTCTTGTTCACATAAATATGCCAGTCTCAGACCATGCTATGCCATAAGCAGAGGGGAGGAAACTGAGACACACTTGCTGCACTGAGCAGAGCAAAATTTAGTATCATACAGAAAGAATAAAAGAGTGAACTAAAAAGAGTTCAGCAGCTAAAATGCTTCTATTAACGTTCTTAGTATAGCCAGTACTTTATGTCCCCAGAAATATCACCCTTTATGTTCTGCTTCCTTTTTCTTTTTCTTTTTTTGGTGCACTCCTCTGGAAACATCATTATTTCTGAATGCACACATTGCATTTGCAGACATTCACATCCACTGCAGGTTGTAAGTATGTAAATTTTATTTCGTTAATTCAAAGTATTTTTTCAATAAAGTCGAGAAAAATTGTTTTTGTTGAAATATATTTATTTCTCCTTCTTTTCATATGATGTAATGTTTAAAAATGAAACATGATAAATTGTCAAGGTGGTATTTTCTATGCTTGAAAGAAAAAAATAATTTTATTTTCCTTTATCTTTCATTGCATTTTGCAAAGACATAATCTAAGTGAGTTTAGGAACATTAATTTTAAGAAATTAATTACTTTAAAAAATGTGTTGGATCCTAACTACATTGATTTTCTCTTATGTCATATTAATGTTAAATTGGTTATGTTCAATAACCATTTTGATAAATCATCAGCAACATTATCAGCAACACCACCTCCAACTTCAAATGTTTTTTAATATATTTTTAAGAGATTTTAAAGACATCTTTGTTATTAGGTAGTATGGAAATGTAATTGATTAATCAATATGCAGGTAGAAGGTGTACCATCCAAACGTAATATAATTATCTCAATAAACATGAGTAGAAAGGAACCAGTGGAAGAAAGCCAAAATACGTCTGACTGTTCAAGATTTGTATAATCATATACTATTAAATTCATATCTTAGGTAATTTGTTCTATGGATACATTCACAACTTCTTGCAAGATGACCAGCATTGCATTTTAACATTTAACCCACAAGCACGAATTTGACCATAGCTTTTCAGACTTAATATTAATTTCTTTTAGTCTCTTTACTGTTGTCTTCAAATACATTATAACAAAAGAGAAAGCATTTTGAGTTTGCTTAAACTTGGAATCAGAGGTGTAAAACACAACCATATATTGTTTCATATATTCTTATCCAGAATTAACCTGGGGTCCTCTCACTTTGTGGAATCATGTTTAGGGAAACAGCTGAGACAGGAGATTTGCAGAGAAAATATTTAGAATGTCTGCCTTTCACCTCTGCATCACACTTCAATGCATTGCATTTATTCATGCATTTCCTGAATTTTGCGTTTTCTTGAGTGCATAAAATGTTTTCTTCTGTGAAGATTTCCCTTCATTCAGCAATATGAAGCATGATTATTCTTTCATTTTTCTGTAGATCTTTTGACAAATATGAAATTGGAAAACCAGACCAGAGTTCAGGAGTTTCTTCTTCTGGGCTTTCCCACTTTCATGGAATTTCAGATGCTACTGTTTATAATATTCCTTATTGTCTATATCCTTACTCTGTTGGAGAACATTGTCATTATTATGCTGATAAGGATTAACAAACAGCTTCATAAACCAATGTACTTTTTCCTCAGTCACCTATCTTTCCTGGAAACTTGGTACATTTCTGTGACAGTTCCTAAACTCCTGGTTAATTTTGTCGCAAAGAACAAAAGCATTTCTTATGAAGGATGCATGGCTCAGCTATACTTTTTCATATCTCTAGTCTGCACTGAGTGTGTTCTCTTGGCTGTCATGGCTTATGATCGCTATGTTGCTATCTGCAACCCTCTGCGTTATCCAGTTATTATGACTGCTCAGTTTTGTTTGCACTTAGCTGTTGAGTCCTGGCTTACTGGCTTCCTCATTTCAATGTTAAAGGTCCTCTTCATATCCCGCTTGAGCTTTTGTGGATCCAACATCATCAACCATTTCTTCTGTGATATCTCACCTTTGCTCAACCTCTCCTGCACAGACCGCACAGTAGCTGAGGTGGTGGACTTCGTTTTTGTCCTCATTATCCTCATAATTCCACTGTCTATCAACATTGGGTCATATGTGTGCATAATAGGGACCATTTTACATATTCCCACAACCCAAGGGAAAAAGAAAGCTTTTTCCACTTGTGCTTCACACCTCACTGTGGTTACGATCTTCTTCTCAGCTACCCTCTT